GGACCTGGTGGAGATCGACGCGATTCAGAAGCCAATCGGCCAATTTCGTTCGCGCGACATTTCGAAAGAACGAGATTGCAAGCGTAGCGATCCGATCTGTTTGCGGTACACGAGAGATCCGTAGATGTTATGTGCGAGACCGGCAGCGTTTAGTCGCCCGTCCGATGTCGCGCGCGACTTTATCAAGAACATATAATCCGAACAATCAGTTTTACAGCGATTGCATTGTCTGTTGAGACAAGCGTTATTTAAACTGTCGTGATATCAGTCACTATAGTCAACAAGATCGATTTGATTGGAAAGATATAAGAGGAATATCGAGCTTTGAAAAGTTTATGCATCTTTTTCATGTATTCTAGTTTGTATTGTGATAATTATTATAATTTTATATATTAATCTTATTGTTTCAGTAATAGAATGAAGAATTAGTGATCGTCATTTTAATTAGCGGATATCATTTTAACTGCTAAATGTAAAGTATTCGCACACCTATGCATAAATGATGATAATACACGATGAGTAGACAAGGACACAATGTGGTCAGACATCGATCATTCGCTCTCTTTACTTTGCTACCGAGCTCTAATATGAGATAGCTAAGAGGTGCTTTTCATATATTTTTATTGTAGCTTATATACTTTGAAGAGTTATTTTAACAATTAATTTGAGAGAGATAAAAAATAATGGAGAGCTATCAGCTTTTGTTCCGATCACAATTACTTACCCGCGCCGCGCGGTAGTCCTCTTCGTAGTATTTTCCGGAGAGGTTCGGCAAATAAATAAATGTCCGACTGGTTGAAGCAAATAGAAGCTGCTGCGCAAGCACACACCGAGTACATTCGCTACGGTTCCCAAGAACGAGCAATTGGATAGAAGCGGCCGTTAAGTTTTCCGGCATTATTTCCGACAGGTATCGTTGATCGTTGTCAAATACACGTAATTCTTAAATTATTATCTTTTCAGAACAATATCTTAAAAAAATAATAATAAAAAATTGTTTTGTAAAAATATCGCTAACTTTTATTAGCCCAAATATTGGAAGAAGAATAAACGCTTTTATTTTTGCATTGACTGCTCGCAAACGTTTTTCATCTTATACGTTTTTCGTTTTTTGTCTTATAAATTCTTACTAGACGTGGCGAAAGCTAGCTCATTCAAAAGTTCCGAGAAAAACGTTTTATGCATTAGAATCATGAAAATTTATCGCTAACTAGACATTGACTTTGTAGCTAAAACAAAGATTACCCGGCACGACTACCAACAGCCTCCGCGACGTCGTCGTCAATTCTCTCTCGCCAACGCGTCTCTCGTCGGCTCGTTCGCCGCGTACCATGGACCGAGTGCGTACGTGCGTGCGTGTAATGGTTACGTTACGGTCCGTGCTATTCCATCGAGAGACGAGGAGTCGGGCGAGGAGGTACGCGGGAGGGATACGGATGGGAAGCTAAGGCCAGAGTTCGCTCCATTCATATCGTCGTCGCGGGTACCGATCGGTCGGCAGCACACCGTCGCGTCGCGTCGCACGTGCACTTGGTAGTGAGTGCCGACTTGGCGATGAGATGCTACGTATACGATAGTGATGCGGTGACTCACACGATTTTCTCTCGCGCTCAGAAACGGATGGGCCTCTCCTTCGTTCGAGAATATATTATCTTCAAGTTCTCTATGAGAAATCATGAAAATACTTGATAAAAAATAATTTACATTTGTGAAAATTCTGTAAAGGCATTTTAAAAATTATATGATATTCAAACTAGGAGCTGTGTTTTGAAGACCGACAATAAATCGGCGCACAGTTTACTGACAATGAATTTGGAAAAAGTATAACAAAATTCACACAATATTATTATTAGCCTATTATTATTAGGCTTGATTAGGATCAAGTCCAGACCGTAAATTATATTGTTTCTCTCTAATTGATTGCATATTATAATGATCGTGTTTCACTTATTATTATTATAATTATATGAAAAATAAATTATTATAGAAATTTAATATAGAAATTTATTTGTATACAATATAAACACACACATGCATACGCAACAAAGATTCGAGAATAAATAACAGACTAGCTTGAAAAGTTAATATTAGGCACGGCAATTAAATTATTATCTTCAAATTGTAAATTACACAGAGAGATTGGAAGCGCGAAGAAGGACTGACAAATTAGTCTTTAAACATTCTTAATTTTAAATCAATTATTTCTCACCTCTTCAACTTAGATCTGGCGATACTTTCCATTAGCAGGAAACAGGATAATAACAACTAACGGCGCTAATGTACGTATATGTCAACCTGTATTTCAACGGACGTCACGATACATGTACGCCGCGCGCTAATGAAATCTGCAGAAACACGCACACACCCGGTCGCAGGGACACACGGCTTACAGTCGCTCCTGCACGTCGTCCTGGCGGAACGACGACGCTCACGTTCGCTGAGAAGTGCTCGTAACAAAATCTTCGCGTTGCAGGATCTCCTTGTCCAATGTAGCGGGATTAAAATCCTCTCGGCGAGAGAGAGCCGTCTTCCTCCCCGGCACCGGCGGGAGAGGACTTCCGGTTTTGCGCCATTAACTAACTTGGCTTGTTTCTCGCTTGGCGCGAGCTTCTCCTGGCCAAGCCTGGAGTGTCCTTTACTATACTGCGGCCCCTCAGCGGCGCTGTACTTTACGTTCCCGGGACTAATGACGGCTCTAACATCACCCGCTGCATCCATCGAGTTATGTTGCTCGAGAACGCGACGAGAGAGAGAGAGGCGCCAATATGTAAGCGAGAGGACGGAGAGGGTTGGTGGTTATTAGACACGTTTCTTGTCCCTGCCGTATTCTCGATGCGTACGGTTTAACGACGGAATAATAGCAGTCGCACCCGGATTATGGTACTTATAGTGTCCTTAGACGCAAATTAACTTTGGAATCATCGAGCTAAGATGTTCTTATATATTTCAAGTCTTGGGAGGGCCAAACGTCATCCAATCTTTGTTAATTAATGCAATTTTTTGTATTAAAAAATTAATCTTCTTTCGATTTTAACACTAAGCGCTACCTTACATGTGATATTTCGTAAGCAACAAGAAAATATTTAAGTTTAATTTTAATATTTAATTGTTGTTTAAAACATTTTACATCTTTATCTCATATGTACAAATATAATATTTGTCTTTGAAAGTAACAATAGACCTTACAGCCTTTTATGTTCACCAAACATAACAAATGTGCATATGCAAAGAGTATTGCGAATAGTAATTGCAAGCTTTCAAGAACAGCCTCGGTCGATGATATTATAGCAATTTTGGGTTCTATAATACGATGTTCTCTCGAATTTCCAGCAAATCGCTATCATAAGTGGCTATCATACTCCGCAGCGAACGTGTCTCAAGTTAATCGATTGCACAAAACATATTCACCCACCCCCTCCTTCCCGGGAACTTCTATAGATTAAGTGTCGCTCGTTTTAACATCGCTTTCTAGCTACTCGATATCGCAGGATGAAATCAGTGTCAATCCTGACCGAAAGCCCTCGGGCGCCTTCGTTGCGAGGTGCACGCGGAATTTATATTGAAAATTCCATTTTCGGAAGGGCCGACGTCGCTCACGGCCGAGCGTGCAAATATTTCCGAAGCTTAAGTCCGTGTTATAACGATTTTTTCGACGTTTTGGCGTACGCGCTCGGAATTGAAGTAGGGCCTTTCAACATTTTCCATGCGCTTCGTTTCGATCAGACCAGATCGCCGTAGCTTAAATCGTTAGTTTTTTTTCATACACGATAGTCGAAAATGCTGTTGCTTATATTATTTAAAAGTTTAAATTATAATAATCGGAATTTTGAAGCGTTTACTTTTCTGATTCATTCTGTAGCTTTTCTGTATATCAATCAGTGTAACGGAATGTCAAGTCTCAAATTTTCACGCATATTCTCTTTCAAGTCTCTGTTTCTTAAACAAATAAAATGGAAGGCAGAGTTTTGTCTAACTTAAAAGTTAAAATGCAATCCGCATACTTCTGACACTTGGACGATAAGATTGAATGAAGTATATGCGTTCAAGTAATTTCTGAATTCTCCTTCTGAGGAGTTTTCTTCCGAAGGAAATGCTCTTAACTGAAAAGTTAAACGCGTGTCTTCGGCTATGCGATTATGGTCTTCCGGTAATTGTTTTAGCTGTCGCCAATGTAACTTTCGGCGACTGCGCTCGCGTCGCGTGCGAAAGTTCCGCTGGCGTTAATTAACTACTAATTGGATTTTATTAATTGGAGCCCTGCCGCCGTGGGCTCGCAGCACACTCACCAACCGTTGCATTGTCTATGTTAATAGACAGTATACTGCAGATCACTGTGTATTCCCTCTCAAGTTAGGGTATAATGCATCACAGAACAAGACTGGACCACCGAGATACCAGGAAGAAAGTCGAACAAAAGTTCAACCGGCTTGATCCGATGTTGTTAACGAGTCACGAATTTATACATATAACACGAACAGCCGGCAAATAAAACTGCATCGTAATTTTTTTTTATTTCTTTTATGCGTACAGGAATCCATAGATATTTCAATCCGCGTATTTAAACTTAATTATTAACATCCTTAATTAAACTTCGCTTACACATTTGCGAAGCAATGTAATTGAAATATAAAGAATGAACATAGTTCATTCAAAATTAAAGATTTGCACAAGAATTTCAGATTTATCATGAACAAAGCAACGTACGAAAAAATATAGTAAATATATAAAGGCACGAGAGAAAAATATTCGACTTCTTGTTACACATTTCTGTTCAGCGCGCGTAGAAAAATTGTTTTAAAAAATTTATAATTGTTGCCGCATACGAACGAGCGCGGGCATGTACTTAATCTCGGGAGCATAACGCTCCGAAATTCCGGGCACGTTATTGCGCGCCGCACCGCGCGAGACACCGTGTATATTTCTGCGAGTTTCGATAACCCGGCCCGGCACACTATAATTAAAGTTTTGTTACGTAACGAGAAATTTACTCGCGATCGCAGGATGCAGATACGAGGGTCGCCGATATCAGGAAGGAACGGCTGTGGGTACGTCCGAGCCCTGCTTGCAGTGCCGGTGCACCGAAGGCGCATTGAGATGCCGGCTCCGAGTGTGTCCGCGATTGCCGAATCCATCGCCGCCCGGCTGTCACGTTCGTTCGCCGGCCGAGAATGTATGTTGCGCCGAGCTGGTATGCGGCGAATCACGTTAGTACGATGATATCCCTCTGATTAATCGATACCTTATCGATACGACCGGCACGCGATCGGCAGGAGGACCGAAAAGTCCTTATTCCGAATAGAATTCGGGAAATTGTAGGGAAATACTACATATTTTTCTATAAAATGCTTTGTATAAATAAATAATATATATTTAAATATATAATATATAATAATATTATAAATTACAAATGATATTATAAATTAATAAATTTTTCGTAAATTCTAATATAATTGTTCGATATTAAATTTTTAATTCGTGCGAGTTAGATAGGAGGTGTCTATATCCCTCGCCTTGTTTCTTTTACCTATAAAGTTTGTCTGAAACGCATAAAAGTTTCGGCTTCGCGGTAAAGCAGATTAAAGAGTTAATCGTGGCTAGGGTTTAAATTTATTATCTGACTCACAGGCGACGTCGAGAATATGTTGCGGAGAGCCAGTGTACAAACGAACATGGAAGCTGAGGATGAGGAGAAGCATGCTCACCACTCACGTACGGAAGGTATTTCTATTTTGTTGATTTTGTACTTTGTTATTTGTTCTTCCCGGTAATGTGTCGCTATATATTGTACAAATAATTGCCTTCTTTATGCTGTGCTGCACTTATCTGATAAAATGACGATACAACGTCAATATTACGTACCTTAAATACGCTGTAACAAGATAACGTACAACAGCGGATAATTCATAATTTTCGATAGTTACTTAAATGTAGAAAAATCGATTCGTTTTCTCTTCCCGAGTGACTGTATTATAAATTGCGACTGTATTCGGGGTTAAATTAGCGGCGCGCTATTATTTTTAATAATTTCCATTCTAACTCCGTCTCTCTGAAAAGAGCGTCTGGGCTATCTCTGCGGTAAATAAATGAGCCTCGTTACACTCGAGTAAACTTGGGTAAATAAATTGAGGAAGGTAGAGAAGAACACTCGGCTAAACTCGGGCATAACACAGAAGGGGTTAAGATGGCTCGTTACTGCTGAAACGAACGTAATTTTAAATTAATTCGGGATTTCTTTGTTGCTGCAAGGTTTATGCCAGTACATTCTTTCATTTCTACGCGGTACAACATTGGCCTGGGCATTGTAACATTTTACCGTAACACTGTTTTCATTTGCAATAATAAAATAAAGTTCTACACACGTACGTTATATTACAACTAAGGGATACAATTATACAATTAATTCGACGTTGCTTTACTTATTTTTATTATTATTAATTTTATTTAACTTTATTAATGACAATAAGAAGATTATTATTTATTAACTAACAACTTTTGAATTTTTTATTTAACATTATTGTATTATTTTTAATCGTACAAGTGAATTAATTTAAGCGGTTCTCGTGAAAGCTCGTGGAGCTTACAAAATCTGTTTATAAAACTAAAATTCCAAGTTAAGAAGTATACATATAACAGAATTAAACATATTAAATATTAAAACACAATAGCATTTCGTCGGTTGTATTTTCCCTTGAGACAACAACCTTTTACCGTTACTTTATAAATATATACAGCCTTTCTGTCTTTCTTGAAAGCATTGTTAAATAAATTATCGAGCACCAAGAAACTTCGCCAAAGTTCAACGAAGCTCACGTACTATCTCACGGACAAGAACGATCTTAACGAGAGCAATTTAACGTGAATTCCAAAAACTTCATTCAGTGCTCGATTGCAATTAAAGATTAACTGCAGTTGTATATAGATCTTCTCGTTTTTTTTATTTTCTGGAAACAAACATAGAACACGTCAGATATAAAACGGCATCTATAAATAACAGGTAAAAAGGAATAACAAATACTACATCAAAAAGAGATAACAATAACCAAGTATACTAAGAATCTACAAACTAACGTAATGAAACCGAAAATCATGAAACAAATAAGATACAAGGTAATATAATTAAAAGTTTCAGGTGTAAAATGCGAAAATTGCGTATTTACAAAAAAAAAAACATTCTGCTTACTTGGTATTTTTTTCGTTTCTTTCGAAGCGTGTAACAACGCTTTAAATTTTTGCGTCAAAACTTTCGTTTCTTTAATTAGTGAAATGGGTAATGAATTCAAAATTAATTTTAAATATATTAGGATGTCTGCACGACGGGATTCGATATGGCTCGGGGTCGGCGATGATGGGCTCGCGCCGATGCGAATACTGCTACTGCATATCCGGCTCGAGGAGATGCGTACGACCCAAGTGCCTGCTGCCTCTACCGGGATGCACCCCGCTGTACGCGCCCCATTCCTGCTGCCCGGTCGCCTATAACTGCACCCGTGAGTGTACTTTTATCACGGCGACGTCGTGGAGTTACTTAAAGTACCTTACCAATGGCCCTCCTTATTTCTTTTCAAGACCACCATCCGTCCACAATGGCGCCGGTATCGGGGAACGGTGAGTTCAAATTGTTGTCATTTACGAGTTAGTCCACTTAACTGAATTCGAGGAAGCGGACGCCGCCAGTCGAGAAATTTCCCGGAAACTCGATAGCGCAATCGAAAGCTTCGTGCTGTTACGCGAAGGTATATTTAGCCCGCAATTTTTGATTAAATCTAATGAAACTCCAATGAAACATAAGAGATATAAAAATTTCAGTAAAATATTATTTTTACTTTTAATGATTAATTAAAATCCATGCGAAGGATATATAAGTAGATGTCTTCCAATTCCTATATTGAATCAGGAGTATTCAGGAACTTCTGCGTAAGAGCGAAGAAAGCTCTTTATATACAAATTGAACGCTAATAGAGATAGCGTAACATGATAAATGTGATACAGCGAGCAAAACGGAGATTGTTTTACATACATTGGCATCGTATATGAGCGAGTAACGTATTAAAGTTCGCCCGTGGAAATAGAAAACTTGAAGAAAATCAGGTCTATTAGGGATTATTCCGAAATTTACCGCCGCGCGACTAAAGCTCTCCGCCGAAGCACGCTCTCGAAAGTTGTGATGAAATGTGTAACTTAATAACGAAGAGTTACTGCTGACGTTATATCACCCCACGACACTTGCTCCACAAGGATTCTACCTCCAGATAGCCGACGAGGTTCATTTAATGCTGGGTCTCATCGCCCGGCGGTTTAAGCTGTAAGTTGCAAGAAAATACCGTAATGATGTACTATTCGAAGTAACGTATGTATAAATATTTTGAAGCAAGTGCACGAATTGCTAAACATTTTAAAAATATTTTTGTATGTATCTTAATCAGGGTCCTCGATTAGGAAATTCTAAACAAACTTAACATCTTTATTTCCTAATACATTTAATTTAAAGTATATATAGAATATATATATAAAAGTATATAAAGTATATATATATAATAATTAAGATTCTGAAGATACTTTTTTAAATTATTTTCAAATCCAACTTAAACAAACTGGATTACATTTTCGTTATTTATTCTAATTTTAAATCGTTTATAAAATAGTTAACTCAGCATCGAAGCTCTCGATCTTTTCTCTCAATTCTATCGATATTTGCTTCGCTTCCGGGAAAAACGCGTGACCTCAGTACACGAGAAGTGGCCGATATTCCCGAAGGATGATATCCCCGAAGAATGAGCACCGAAGGAATAGTCTCTGGATTCTCTCGTTATGGGATCCGACAACTATAGAGGAACGTGTAACGCGATAAAGAAGAGTCAGGAGGTACCTCCCGCGACACTTTGCTCCGGAGGGAAACTGCGAGGCCGGCGTTTCGGATAGCCGAGGTTGCCGTTCATTTAACGCCCGGTTTCACCGCACGGCCGCTTAAATTTAAGCCGGGCTTAAGCTTCGGGTTCGCTACGACGACGCCACGGCTGTCACTGGCTGCCGGGACATTCGGGGATGGCTTAATTTTAAACGGGGCACCACCGAAAACCACCTCCCTCCCCGTCGCGACGGGTGGGCGACGTTGCGGCCTTGCCGTCCGCGTCGCGATGACTGACCATGAAGTCGGTAAATAACGATTCGAACCACGGCGGCTCGTTAATTCTCCCGGACAGACAAACATCCTCGGAGGTCCTATTACGGGCTAACACGGCGACGCCATCAAAAGAGCGACGTTATGCGAAGTTATGCTCCAGAGCGTATAGCTCCGTTCAAACAAGATAAAACCTTCAGCGAAGGTATAGGAACGTGCGATCCGTTATATTTCTACGAAGTCCTTTGAGACTCAAAATGGAGACTAAGATCGAAGTTACTATAATCTTACGATTATAGTAATTTACGGATTATTACATTTTTATTTGAGATTTAAATGGATCCAGTTAAATTTCAGTGATATACATCCCTATGCCGTATTTCTTCTTTCTTTTCCGCGCTATCGAAGTTCCAGAAATCTGGATAGTACTGGACGGAACATCCGGATATTCGGGCCTCGAACATCCGGATGTTCGCGGTAGTCTCTGCGCGAGCAGCGCGACGGAAGAAACGTGCTCACGTTCTCACGACTCTCACGGCACATATGATCGTCTCCAGGATGTCGCGTGGGCGAGCGCGTTTACGTCGAGGGCGAGATGGTTCGCGACATCGAGTGGAAGGCCTCATGCGACAATTGTTTCTGCGCGATGGGCGCCATACGGTGCGTTCCACTTGCGTGCGCCCCACCTCTTCAAGGCTGCAGCCCGATCGTGCGAGAAGGACAATGCTGCCCGTCCACCTACAACTGCAGTGAGTTTCACGCAAATTCGCGCATTCGGGGATTGTCCCACGCTCACACGCTACCCTACGGGCAGAGCTCACGCCCGGATTGTGTTTTCCGCTGAATTAATCGTGAAATTCCTTGGTCGGAAATATTGCCTTTCATTTTCAGACCATTATTAAATATCAGGGGGAAAAACGTGATACTGCAAAAATATCGAAATACGAGACTATTAACGCTTTTTGTAATTCTGATAATAGATAGTGTTTTCACAGAAAATAAACAATGAAATAAAAAAATGAAAAAAAAACGCAAACAATCGTTATAGTTAAAAAATCATTTGATTAGAATGAAAATAATTTCCCGATGCATGTGCATCTCTATAAATATATTTTTGAATGGCCACCATTTCCCTGATTTGTGTATTTCTATTACGCAAATTTTTTTAACTTTTGCGAGTTTAATTTTTTAGCTGCCTCGATTGTTAAGCCTTCTTCAGAGAATTTCAGAGAACTTTTTGCTGGTTGCGTATTCTCTTGTATATTAGTTACAGTGGATCAACAAAGTATTTGCACACCAGTTTTCTTACAATAATTTTATTCAAAGGAATAATACATAATTACGAATTGCATCTATAAATAATTTATTACACATAGTAATTATGTATTATTCCTTAAAATAAAGTTATTGGAAGAAAACTGTGCAAGTACTTTTTTAATCCACTGTATATGTAGAAGCAATCGTCTTTGTTTAATAAAAAATTAAATCCTTTTTTTCATACGTGTATTTTCGAAATATTAGTTTCATGTTGCATATGTGACTATGGTAATGGAAGCCGATCGCAACCGACGCTGAATTGAGTCTCGTTTGGTTAAGGCTCGGTGAAAAAAATATTTTACCGAAAGCGAAAATATTTATTTGATGCATGCCGATGCGAGAGAATAACGAATGCCACCGTCAAAACAGCGTCTCGTTTTCGGGCTTGGGAATATTTCATTCAGCATCCACACGATCTCGCAAAAGGAAAATAAAATATTTTACCCGGTTTTGTTTGTGTGCGTGTGCGCGCGCGCGCGCGCGTAAGCGAATTAAACACGCCGATTCTTGGAAGCGAGAAACATCTGCGAATTAAAAGGGGATTTAATTTCCGCGCGAGAGCGTTTATTCGATACAGTCAATATGGCAGCTCTGCGAGCGCGATAGCCATCGATATTAATATCGTGGCAGATAGAAATATGCATCTACCGAACGAAAATCGGCCAATGACCTGCAAACATCGACTTAAAAGCGCGTTTTATCCACTGACAAATGCCGCTGATATTTTTGCTTCTTGTTTTAAAAAAATATATGTTATTAAAAAATCGTAGCATGACGCGATTTCATTTTATACTATTTTGGGAATCAACATTTCATTTTTGGGTTGCACAAATCGTTCACACACATTTGCTTCTGTATTCTTATAGTCATTAATTTAATCAATATAAAATATCTATTTATACAGTATTTGCCGGATTAATCCTCTTTAATATTTAACTTCTATATTTTTCATACTTTAATAATGAAAAGGGAATAGAATTGAAGATGAGATATGTATGTATCATTTAAATTTAGCACGAAAAGGGAATCAAAACTTAATAAGCCATGCTGTGTAGCGTATTATGCAAGCTCGTTCGTAATTAAAATTCTTCATGATAGCACAATAGCACAGATGTACAGATGTACAGGGATATTTATGTCGGTACAAATTGGACATCTACGATTTTTACTTTTAATTCTGTCCGTTATAATTAACACGCGTCAATCGTGCTTTTTTAATACGGACATACCTACGTCTCGCTCGATAAGGGAAACACAAGCCGGGTTGAGTTTGTCCTAAAAAAATAACACTCTTAGGCTTATTCGTGAGTTTAATTATTATTCACACACATACATATGTATACATACAAATATTCTTTCTTGAGTGTTATTAAGAAACTGAGAGATTAAACGTTCAAGGCGGCAGCATCGAAGTAAAGGCCACCCAAAACTACGCATCTTACGCCTTCGTCAGCAAGGACTACGCTAAGTTCCGCAAGGAGACCAACTTTTTCGTACGTTTTCTCTTCTTCTTCTTCTTTTTCTTCTTTTACGCTTTCCTTGTAGAAACGCAAATTATCGCGTCGCCTTTTTGGCGAATTCTGTTAAATAGTTCTAACTGTTCTAAATAAGCTAAATCCCAAAGTTACCAAATAGTAGGAACATGCTCATGGGATCGAAGTTAAGGGGAGGTGATTTATGTAGTCGGCGGAATTTAATCAATGAAATCTACCCGAAACATTGATTATAAACACGTTAGACATTCGACTTAGTTCAGGAATTTGGAATGAAGCATACCTTATTGGTTCACGTAGCGCGATACGAGTTTCCGATCGGGCGACGACGTATCTATTATGGATGTGTTGCGTTATTATTAATGGGTAGCGGGTCGTTAGTACAGAATACCACTTATGGAGAATTCGATTCTCGCGAGATACACGGGAATCTACTCAGACAATGGAAACAACTGTGCGGCGGATTCCGAGGGTTCGTCACAAACTTGGATTCTTGAACGAGCGCATCAATCGCGCGCCAATACTAAAGAGATAACTTTAAGAGCTGGACTCGATAGTTTCTATCGCAGAATTAAAGGAAGCTTATTTTTCCCATAATTTTTCTGGCACAAATTTGCTGAAGATTTGTATCAATTGCTTATAAAAATTTATATTTCTTACATTATACATAAAAACTTATGTGTATCTGTTTTAATTTATTAAAAATTAAGAATCTTTAATTTTTTTATCTCTAAAAAATTAAAAAAGTTTTACTTCTTTTTATTCACTTTCAGCATATTTCATATTGATTAAAATTATGTATTATTAGACATTATTTATAGCATTCTTGTATAGATTTATGTCCAACACCCGTGCTTCTAGAATTTTTTAGTTAAATGATCTATAACGCGTTCACTTTGCATTACCAATGTCCACATAGTGCTCCAATATCGGAAAAAATTAAGTATTCAATTGAGCTCGAGTCGCCCGATTAAACGCAAACGATTAAGTGAAATCATTAAATTGACTCGGTTGATCGAATTACGAGTAGGCTTTGAAGCGCGCATAGAGTTTAATAAAAAAAAAAGAGAAAGAGAGAGAGATCCCTCTGTGAGGAGATCCTAATCGATTTACGGTACGAGAGCCTGTCATTAATTGTTCAGCCCGCGATTGATCAATCTACGAATCCGCCCGTCGAAGGACGAGGTCACAGAGTGGTCGAGGAACGGATTAGCACCAGCACGATCGATCTCGAGGAGGACTCATCTGTCGTCACCTACTCGACCGCTTGGCCCTCGACCATGGAGACCGACATCATGGACAATGAAATCTTGATAGGGACGGTGGACTATAAATCGACCTTGGAAGTGACGACTGCCGGAACTTCAACGAATGAGGTGATAATAATATGTATGATAATTCGCATAACGAAAGCCTTCCCAGTCTTTTAATCCTTGCGTAATTATCCATTTAGCAAATTAATAGATACATACGTTGCTAACTCAGATGTAAAAATATAATTTGAACGGAGTTATTAATATTGTAACGTATATGTAATACAAATATCTTTCAAATAATTTTAACAACAACAGATAAGAAAATAAACGAAACAAACATTGAATCAGATGATATCTTTCTGCTATTAGTCTCAATAAAAACAGTGCAATTTATCGGAGTGCAATTTTTTTTATCGCTTTAATGCGCTCTACTGTTTTCTTCGGTTCACGAAAGCATAAACCCGATCATAAATCAATTCGACGTTAACAATTATTTTGTTTTCGTTCGCCAGTTATCGAGTAACACTGAATCGACAACCTCATTCGAATCGACCCTGGCGTCCACCAAAGATGCTGATTCTGGCATTGGTTCCTGCATTATGTGCTTAACAAACACGTTCACGGACTCCACGATCATGACGACGGAGGAGCCGTCTAGTACGGATGGCTCGACGATCTCGTTGTCGGAATGGACGACGATGCTTCCTGAATTAGCGCTCGATAATGGAAACGATGAAAACGAGGGTGCCGGCGGGGATGAAAACAAAAACGCGGGCGAAAACGAGAAGCGGAACGAAGACGAGGCTACGGAGAGAGGGACGACGGTGGGAGAGAAAGCGGATATAATTGAGAAAAACAAAGCTACGATGCATCCTTTCGCAATTTCCACGAATGCCCGGAAAACGCTTATTCCTGACGAGAAATTGTCCGAGAACTCTACACTCATTAAGGTAACGACAAAAGGAAGAATAATAATTTGAATTTTCATACGATACCAGTGAGATAGTTTCGTAAAAGTCGCAAGTAAGAAACAATCACAAATTTTTGTACATTTTAATTATTTATTAGTGATTTATTTAGTGATTGGTAGTCTTATGTTAAAAATTATTGCTGCATTGAATATTTCTAATTATATTTACTTGCATAAAAAATTTTTAAATTACGAGATTATCTTGAGAGAATCTTTTTTTTATAAAATGTCCTTTCGATAATAAAGAAATAGGATTATGAAGATAATAGATAATAATGAGAGATTTTTCTCTTAACACTAAAAAATAATACAAATTTCAATAAATTTAACTCACTTTGCGGAAGTAGATTTAAACTAAAGTAAACATTATTTCTAGATTAATTTTGTAATCTCTTAAAATTAGATTTAAATTTTTTTATTTTTTCAAACAATCTGATAACGAAACTTGAAAACAAAACCTAGATTTATGAGTTTGGTTGCAAATTTGATTATTTACTTTCTTTGCTTGTATTCATACATACCTATTTTTTAAATATACAATATGTTTGCTGTAAACTTACCGTAAAAAAGAACAAGTAAGTGTATTATGATTAAACACATATGACATAGAGGACGGAGATCATCGGCAAGAGACCCGTCACCAGTCCATCGTCGATGATACTCATGCCCGACGACATCCTGGTGATGAACGTGACAGTCAAGACGAATGTCTCAGTGGGCCATATACAAGGTGTCACGATAAATCCAATTAGGTCCATTCCGCCCGACATTGAGGCCATCCTGAACATCACTCATCGAGAAAAAGGCGAGGATTATGAGTACGACTACAACGAACGACTTCTGCCGCCGTCGCTGCCGAACGTTAGGTGACTATTATCATATCTCGATCCATCATCATCTCCTATTCCGTCCCGTGATTTGACACCGGACAACCTCCGCTGATTGGAAGTACGAAGGGTATATAGATGTTTTTTTTTTTTTTTTAGACAAATTTCATAATTGCAATATTTTTAGAATGCATTGAAAATATCGGCAGGTGCAACGTAACGCAGTCGATGTAATCGATATAGCGCGTTTTATTTCTTTTTATTAGCCGACACGAAGTGCAATCAATTTTTCACGCTTATAACGGAACCGCTTTTTTGCGAGTTTTGTTGGCCGAGAAATACTGCCGTGAATTAAATTGAAATCGTTTGTCGAAAACAACTGATTGATACCGATTTACGTCGGTTACATTTTTAACGGTAGAAAATGTACAGCACTTTTTTGTGTGCTGTAGTCTTTTCATAAAATTTATTAAGATACACTTTTTTGAACAATTATAATTTGAAAAGTATGATAGACAATCCTCTAAAGAACTAATTTTATTTCTTAAAATTCTAATTAAATTCTTTGAATTCTATTATCTAAATTCTTGAAACATTTTTCTTTTAATTTCTTTTTATATATATATAAGTACATATAACGTATAAAAGTAATTTAAAAATTTAATTAAAACTACAGGTTGTTTTGTAGCTAAATGTATCAATGGAAAATATATTTTGCTATTGTAGGATAATACCCTTTGTGGCGGCAGATGCGTTGGTGAAAGGCAAGGATGTACCCTCATCTGAGACTGGATATCCTCCTGGTTCAGTTGTAGTGCCCCCTGAACTACGACCGACCGATGCTTCCGGCTTTTATGATATTGCAACCCAGGAGAACCGATTTAACCCACCCGTAGAGACCGAAGGTATTTTATGATTCTCTATAAGAAGTCAAATGAATAGTCTAGACGTAAAAATGTACAAATAAAAGATGCTATACAGCCGAGCTAAATATATATATTAAAAGCAATATATTAAAAAACAGTTTTCTTTTTCGCATATCTTTATTTTTCTTTAAAGACGTGAATTTTTTTAAAATACTTTGTATTGTGTAGTTGGATAAAAAATGAGATGCTACCATTGTTTTGTTATTTTAATAGGATTAATTAATTTTGACAAAAATACTGTCGCTCACAATATTTTTTTATAAATAATAAGTAATAGATCTTTATTCGTAGGTGGTTTTGTACCCAGAGAGCCGCCATACTTCGATGTTCCTTACCGCTCCACAGACTTAAATCTTGAGATTGGTACTGGAGTTACTGTAGTTCCACAAATTACAAATCCACATCGAAAGAATAACGGTATGCATCCTTAATTAATTGCTAATCTGTGAAAAATCTGATAAATTAAACCGCAGTAGAACTATAATATACATCATTAATTGCGGCTTGTTTTGTCGAACTAGATTTATCGAGTAAGTGCCATTTTGAAGATATGGAATACCGTCACGGTGCGATCTTGCCACGTACCGCTTTTTGCATAATCTGCATGTGTTATTATGGGGACGTCGTCTGCTCCTCGGAGAAGTGTCCGCCATTGAAAATTGGTTGTCGCAGAATTAATTCCGAGGAGAAGTGTTGCGGAAAAATTGTTTGTGGTATATTTCATATCGTCGTATAATAAAATTCTATCAGAAATGTTATACAAACTCACAAGACACATTTTTATTTTTCTATAATACGTCTTATCCGCTTATCTTATAGTCGACGCCGACGAATCGCCAACGGTGGTGCTCGACCGCGCCGACGCCACGGCACCTTCTCAACGACAACCCACAGTATCTCCGGATCCGTTTCGCGACGTCATCAAGACCGAGCCAGCCCCCGACTTACCTTCCCTGATCGAAGACATGATCCCGTATCTGGTTGAACGCGGCATCACGATGCCCAGGCCGACGACGTCCATGACGGCCTCGAAGGCCTCGGCTCCAGGCATAATGGGCAATCAATTACAACACTCGCCGAACTTTGACTTCATGGAGCGAGTGCCGCTTATGCAACCGCCCTTCGATTACGGAGAGGAAACGATCGACTCCTCTTTCTTGACGAAAATGAAGTACGGAGTGAACCACGAAGCGTCTTCGACGGATACCGTCTCGTTAACGTACGATTCCAAGAATCAGGTCCTGGATCGCAAACCCTCCGAAAATCCCGAGGCGGACATCTTCGATTACGACGGAGCGGCGTTGACCGAGTTAAATCGCACGACCGACAGTTCGAAGTACGATTTCCAACGGGGCAATACCACGGAACAGAAGTTCGCGAAGGGAAACGTATCCGAGACCGGCGATTTCGATAGAAACTTCACCGGCGAAGAGAACAATCGTACTACGAAATACGACAATCGCACGGAATCGGATAATTTTCCAAGTGAAGATGGAAAGACCACCGAGGACGACGAAGATGTCACCATCTTTTCTCTGGACAGTGTTCTTAAGCTGCTATTTTCCTCGAACGCCAGTTCCAGCAACAAGCTGACCGAGACTACCACAAAGACACCGAGTGTTTCCTCCGTCAGCGGTGTACGAGAGGATCAGGAGACACTCGTCGCTTCATCGACGAGTACGGAAAGGTTAACCGAGGAGACGGAAACTGTCGAGACGTCCTCAAAGGTCCTCGACAACGAGATACCAATGTCCGTGGGCAGTTTACTGAAGCTGGCCGGTTGCAATATATACGGGCGAATGTATCGCGTCGGCAGAATTATCACGGAGCTCTCGAGTCCCTGTGAGGAATGTAGGTGCACGGAAATTGGTGTCCGGTGCGAACAGTTGGAATGTTAATCGGACAATCGATTCAATATCGTAAAAAAGTCTCGCGAACGCTCGAAGTCCGATAAAGTAAGACTGTTCTGTCGAGAAAATTGAAAGCGCATACATGTTGTGCGAAATATTTTCGAGAGAGGATAAAACGTTGCTTATACAATTTAATACAACCGTGTATTTTAAAAATTTACCTCTTGTTTAATTTTAGACTCTACAAAGTTTAAAATAATAAAAACTCTAAGGTTTATAATAATGAAAATCCCAAAATATTTTTAGGATTTAAATAATACTTGAGATATCTTGGAATTATGTGTGAGAAAGAAAAGAAAAAATAAAACCTCTATAAAATTAGATTAAAATATGAGAACGATATTCAGATTTGAATAACTTCGTAATGGGACTTTACGCGAAGATTTTAAAACTTTGAAATTTTAAAGTCGAAGACTTTTTTACCATCGTGCATTTTGCTCAATTAAATAGCAATCGCGTTTATCATGATAAAGGAGAAATATATGCTCACTTTAGCATTTATCTTCATATTTTTTTAATTTCATAGAAATTCAATCCAATTCGACAGAAAATCGATCTGTAAAAATTTCTCATTATCTATTCATCATCTTCTATAGTTTTTAGACGTTTGGATTTACTGTGGCAAACACAAAATTCGAAATTTCACTATTGATATAGTTAGATGCTGTCTGAAACTATACGAATCTCTCAAACTACCAAGACGGGCCGGTTGTTGTACCGCCAAGACATCTTGGCAGAACGATGAATCTTCGGCCAGAACTTCGGACAACTTGGACCACGTAATTATCCAGGTAGAACCGATAGACTCAGTCTCGATGACCCTCGATAACGAGACACCGACGTTCGTGGTCAGATTACTCTAACTGGATGTAATATCGCCGGGTTGTATCGTGTTGGTTGCATCATTACGAAGTGTCCCTAAGTTTATGTCTCAAATGCGGCTGCGTTTGCGTCACAAGCGAATTTATGTAAACTGGCGAAACTTAAGCACCGAACCCTTAATCGTTTGGATGCCTCACAGATTAATTTTCTTCGCAAAATATCTCTCGGCTTCTCACACGGGACGAAACATTTGAACAACGTTAAATTAATATCTATGATAATAAGTGAATAATAATTTAATATCTACGATTTCTTCCGCCGTTTTCAAGAAGTAATAAAAAACAGATTATGTATTGTATGAAACTGAAAGAGAACGCGTTCTCTCTAATATTTGCCTCTAATTTTTTTTATCAACTGAAGATTAATGACAGTTTGACACTTTTCCGCTTTTTCTGCGAATATCCGCGGGCGTAATTGACCTTTCTTTCGATTAAAGGGTATCGCCCGTGTAATCCGTCTTATAGTTCGCCGCGATTGTCGTCTCTCGTCTTATCCCGAGATTTCCAGATTCCTCCTTCTAATTTCTTTCGTGCCTGTCGTTTTCCCTCCCTGTATCGGCGAGCATTATTCCCAGGACGTCGCGCGGCGGTCATAAACGTGAGCCTTGGGAGAATCAACATCCTGGGGTGGGATCGATCAGGATGTAATTGTGAAGAATAGTCCTTCCGTGCTTCAAAGGATAAGTGGATGAAGGCGGAAGTTAGCGCGGTATTCGCTCGCCTTTCTTCTTTAATGGGAATTATCCGTCTATATACCAGCGCGGGGCGGAGGGGGGAAGGCAGAGGTGCCGTTTTGATTTATCTTCGTAATTTATCTCGCCAGACCGAATGCAAAAGATATCAGGTTGGAATACTATGGCGGTAAAGAAAGGAGGGGAGGAAAAAGAAGGAGAATAATCACTCGGCGAAGACGTTCTTGCCAAATTTAAATTATCCCGCTAGATTACACCTCTTTTGTAGACGAATTAGATTTGTGGCACATATGATAGCCAGCCATTGTGTGTGATTTGTGAACATTTATAAAAAATTAAAATTTGGCCAAAAAAATAATCCATGCATGAGCCGAACCTCTTTAAACGTTGAATAATCTTTTCTCCTCTTCTGAACACAAATCGATATTCAATTCTGATTGGAAAAATTATTTCACATGGAAAGAACTGACTTATGAAGTTTTTCTCCATAATTGTGCTAATTTTCTGTAAATGTTATATCGCAACATGAATAACAATAGGTATACTTTATGTTAGCTCTTAAGTTATAATAACGATCTCAATAGCATCACTGATTGAAATTGGAATCTAATGAATCAATCTAATTAAAATACGTTGTTAAATCCTATTACATATGTATACATAGATACATCCAGGCGGGATCCAAGATCAGTCAGCAACGTACGTTGTTGTCAATGATGCTAAAATAATTTTACAGATCATGACGTCGATTCAATTAATATTATTCATCATTTTGAGCATTATTTTTTGAATCGGCGCCGTCGTTATAAATAAGAGTAAATTAAAAATAATAAATATACATTACAACATAAGTATTTGCATCCGTATTTTGCTGTAACTGATATATACTATATCGAGAGTTATAAGAATGCTTTGTTGTGATTTATAAAACGTTGTATTATTAAATCTGAGTGTTTTCATTTTATTATATACGTTATATTTTTTTAAGCGTTTACGTCCTCGAGGTGTTTCCGCAGCCTTCAATTCAATATTCTTGTACATTCATCGGGCAGAAGTACCATTAGAGTTACATATCGATAAATAAATAAAACTTTCGCAGTAAAGATATTAATAATGTTATTAAATTTGAGTAAATAATAAAAACTTGCTTTTTTTGAAAAAAAAAAAACTACCGTTATGTTTCTTGATAATATATTATTAACTTAAATTTGTTTAAAAATTGACAGGTTTCGCTTTACATAAATGCCGCATACAGAGGCTTGTAGCATATATGTATATTATATTTATTGTAGTAAACTCTTACATTATCTTATACCTTTAGGCTTTCTTGCGCTCCGTTTTCTTTTTATCATTCCTCTTTCTTTAATAAAAATAGCGGAATATAATGCATTTATATATTTCTGACAAAATTAATTTTTTAAAAACTGTTCAATTACCTTTTTTAATCAAATTTATCCAACAAAACACAATTTTTCTAAATTTTTCTGACAAAAATATATCGAACAATATCGAAAAAATTTCATGGAAATTATTTTAACACATAAAATGCAAAATATAAGCAACATCATGTTATACTAAAATGATGTAATCACATCGCGGAAATTGTTTGGGAAAATGAATCTCCGATAAAAGAGGCGCCGGCCCATTCAATCGAAATTAATGCGAAGAGTTAATTGCAAACCTAATGAACTCTAATCTTCAAAATATCACGTCCTCGATATTCTATAACGGAATAATAATGACGGATATTGAATGGGAACAGTTAATAATGCGAGTACAGAGAGGAGGATAGTTCGATATATGGGAGATTCGAGATTGCGAATTGCGCCAGTTTGTAAAACGTCATACGATACGCTCAAATTTTATTGCAGGCAATCGATTGTTTCGATATATAATGAAGCTAACGGGGGCTCTCGCGTCGTGTACTCGCGGCGAAATCATAGTACGTGTGTATGTTGTGTGTAATCATATATTTATATTTAATAATTTATATTTACAAGATTTAGTAATGTGTAATCATGTCGACGATAACACTAACATAATCACAGCCAGTTCGTCTCATGTAACATTAATAAACAAGTAGGTATACGAGTATACGATATACGATTAACTGTCCGGGAGAACACATTACTTTGTCTCACATACGGCATTATGCTCTATATATCGTTACATGCTTGCGCGTTACGCACGATTATTAATTTATTTCGGCACTAATATTTCTCTGCCCGCGCGTCACCGCGAAATGGAATTTTCTTAACGGCTTCTCAGATATTAACAAACTTTAAAAGTGACTAGGGATATATTCAAATTAAGTATATAGAAGCTATCGGTTAAATCGCTTAGACATTTTGTGAAGCGAACTACAATCGTCATTTCAAGCTCCTTACCTTCGTCTAATTGTTTATTAGAGAATTCTGATGAGCATAAGTTTAACCGAGCTGTTAATTCAAGTTGTAATAACGATAATTTATGTTACCGTTCGACGCGTCGCGTCGCGTCGATCGTTAGCTATGATAAATTGAAGCAGAGAGAAACAACAAGCCGGATCGAAAATTGATGTATACGCACACGAACTCTCTTAACAAATACCGCATATCGTGAGTAAAGACGCTACGCTACGCTATAAATATTTCTCGCAAGTCTTACAGCTTTGTAAATAGAAATGCGATTATCTTTGCGCTATATAATTACGCTATAAAAGATCTCTTGCACACTTATCGGAAAACATGGCAGGACTCTGGCTTAACGTGAAGAGGAATTCAATTTGGATTCCGTAATTATTTCGTTACCTTCTCGCTCTATATGATAACGTCGAAAGATGACTCGGGATTAGGATGTTATTTCTACAACACCGAATTAGTTTGTACGGAGAATTTATATGCTTTCGCAGCTCGAGATCAGTCGCACATTGTTTAAACTTTGCTTTATTAACGATCGATACATTTATCTTGCCATTATTAAAATTTTCGTTATATCGTAACACATTTACGGTAGTAATATGATCGCTTTTATTTTATACATCATCTTACACATCTCGTACACGCTAAATTGTTAATATGAATAATTGAAAGAATGAAGGTATCATCCCATTATCTTCAACATTGCGACGTGCTAGCTTTAACGTACTCGAAATTGCGGTTTTTACCACGCGAACCATAACAATATCTTTCTGCGCGTTTATTTAAATAAATTACTTTTCACATTCTACAATAATCATTTGCCACTGCTGGACTGATTTACATCGCACCGTCAACGCATTGTCGCTTCAACCTCACACATTGTTTTTTTTTTTTTACGGGAAAATTTTTTCTTACCTTTATTGTACTACACACATTTCACACTTTCGTAATTCATCTTATTCGCCGAGATCGATATAACGAGAAATCAGAATTGTTAAATGGTTACATGTACAATCCGATTCTATCGGCAGGGTGGTAGTCGGCAGTTTTAAACATCTTATCTCCGTAGAAAAAGTCACAACGTTCACCAATGTTCGTAATATCAAATTTATCAAAGTATCGGGCGCGCAGAGTCGCCTTCGAGTACTTGCACGATTCTACCGCATATTTCGTCTAACGAGTCGTCGAGATTCTAGAAATTCTAATGGCAGCGAGTAGCACGAACCAATATTCGACGAACATTCGCGAATCCTCGGTGTTTTCCTCCTACCGACTCACCGAGCGCAATGCTCGCTCAAGTTCCTTCACAAACGCCTCACAATCAGTATACCGATCACACGATCTTCCCCTCTGGAATGAAACGTGAACGTATTTTCACGGGGATTACCTAGAGTCACGATCGCGCGTCGTTTCAGCCTGATTTTTTTCGTGTCTAATAGATGATGGAGATTGGATTGCACGAGATTCACGTGAGATCTGAGAGGTAAGGAGTGGAAAGGTCCACCGGCAGTTACGCGATCGATCGCGCGGATCCCGCGCGGAGCCCGCACGGGCCTACTCGAACACGCTCTCGGCGGCCTCCCGGATCTTCACGATCAGGAAGGACCGCCTGCAGAGCTTGACGAGCATCTCGATCCTCTGTCAGGACGGCTTCCTGAGCTGCGGCAGGGCGATCAGGTAGACGTTGCCGAGGATGGCGCCGACGATCAGCAGCATCACGCTCACGGCCGACAGCAGCCGCACGTACCGCACGAACCTGCGGCCCCGGGCGTCCTTCTTGCTCTGATTCGGGAACACGGCCAGGCCCAGAAGCGGGCCCGCCAGCGCGCCCGCGACGTGCGCCGCCCAGCCGACCCGGCCGCATCCTAGCAGAGCCGGGATGGGCAGCGACGCGACGTCCGCGCCGGCCAGCAGCAAGACGGCCCCGAGACGCCAGCCGGCGTAGCGCAGCTCGCCGTGACACTGCAACGAACGAGAAACAAAACGGTGGTGCGCGATCGACTTTTCCGCCACGGAGAGTCAGGACGTGCAAACGAAAAGACTCGATTACGCGTTAAATCACGGAGAAATCAAATCTGTGCATTTAACTGAATCAATAAAAAAAATTAGAGCTTGTATATCGTAATATATAAGAAATTAATATGATTGAAGAAATATATTCAATCATATAAAGATAGGGGTAAACAGTACAATTGTTGACCACTCTAAAATGATTGGCCACATCTTAACCCTAAGAGCACCACACTGTGTTTAGCACCTCTAATATTGCCGTTTAGTAGCCATATACGTCTATTAAACGGCAGATGAGGCTGCAAAGCATGGGGAATCGCAGAGAGAGAACAAAAGTTTATTTACCTTATTACTTTGATTCCCTAACTTCCACTTTATTGTAAAAAAGCAGGCATTTTTAAAACAAACATGGGTGTGCTACACCCATGGCCTGGTGTTCTAAGGTCAAAAAATTAAAGATTGTAAAGAAATACTATTAAAATGTTTAAAAGTGCTTCCTTTAAAAGTGTATTAATTATTTTTGTATTTATAATTAAAAACATTTTAATAGTATTTTTTTATAATCTTTAATTTTTTAAGATGTGGTCAATCATTGTAGAGTGTCCAACAACTGTACTCTGTTTACCCCTAATACGATATTGATAATTGATGTCTGATTCTCAAGGATTATTTATTATCGCCACTTGCCGCGAGGAGAGTCCGTTACTCAAGCTAAATAAGATTCTTTCGCGAGGGTATCTCGAGCGGAAACATTCCTGCGCGACTCTCAACAGCGCGTTTTAGTGCAGCATCTTTTGTATAGTCTTCCTTATTTTTTTTCCTTCATTCTTTTTTGCTGCTGCGACACGCAACGCTGCGCGGGACATTCAAGGAGCGAGGGGTCGTCGAGGGGTCGGTTTACGTCGTCTGAACTCCGCTCTTAGAGATTGAGAAACTTTTTTCTCTCGCTTACCAGGTAGAGGTGAGCGAGATGACTCGTAAGCAGCGCGTAAACACCTGCCGAAGCGCCGACCAGGTAAAGACTAGGTTGCAGAAGCGACGCTCCCAGAGCGCCGCAGACTCCGCCGCCCAGGTAGATTGTCGCCACTCCTATTCGTCCTTGCTCCACCTGCAACAATGAGCTTTCCGTGTTCCCGTCTGCAATTCCGCACATGCAGAGTTACGATCGTTGCTACGTATTTCTCATAAATAAAACTTGTTACGTCGGATCTAATGAACCAATCCTAGTGCTGCAGAATAATAAGGATTCTAGCTGAAAATTTTATTTAACCGCGACGATCTTTTTATTTATGTATTGTATAAAAAGATAAAAAATAATAAATGTAGTTGCAAATCGATGTCGTACAGTATTCCTGAAAACATTTCGTTTCAAAGGAAATGCTATCTCAACATTTTGTGCAATGTCGTGCTTATTCTCATTATTCTCGTTCTCAATTTCCGTTACGGTGTAACAAAAAGCAAAGCAAAAAGTACTTTAATTCGACGATATGGGAATGTTATCTGATGTAATCGTGAGCAAAAAGGATCGCCGTCGAAAGGGAGGAGCCTCTTTCTCTTAAACGCGCGGTGTCTTGACGCGCTGAACGACATCCTCGCAATTTAGTTGATTGGCTCACCTCGAGTGGAGTAGCCAGGACCAGCTGAATGACCACGTTGAGTGCGAGGTGAAGTGCGTTCGAGTGAAGCAACATGTAGGAGGCAAACCTCCAGCCCTGCACCCTCTGACGGGGATCGTAGACCAGCCATCTCCGCAACGTCGCTTCGTCTCCCAGGCAGTGGACGGTTATCTAGAGAAAGCACGTTTAATGTGCTTGCCTTTGCCGCGGGAATATTATTCAGAGAAGAATACGGCATATATATTCAAGAGCACGGAGATAATTACATGTCGCTGTTAGAGATAAAATTAATTACAATTGCCAATGTCTCTATTAAATATGTATGCGTATAATACTGAATTGTTGAATACATCAAATTATATTTTATACGCTTTTTTATTATATAATATACATAGTATATAAAATAAAATTTTAAACAATTTTATATATCTAATAAATTATATATATACCTATGTAATATTTATTTTATTATTTCTATTTTTATCGATATTATAATATAGTTGAATTATTATTCAATAATTCTTATTATTCCAAATTGTTTATTTGCGTTTTATTAATCATGTTACATTCGTTTTAGCAATATAAGAAACGATAAGAAACGTTTGAAATTTAATTATTTTGACTCAAAATGTTTTCCACAAAAAATAATTTCTTATATTCCCTAAAGAAGAGAACGGTGGCTTAGTAAATCCAGGATTTTCTATTTTATCTTAGAAGCTAAATAAAGATACACGAGCACGTGAATGAAGTGCTATTTCAGATTCTGCTGGTACGCCAGCTATTTCCGTAACGATACTTAGCTTTCCCAGAAGCGATTTGTTGAGATAGAAAACGTGTTCCACGCGTTTTTATCGCCGAACCTTACATAAAAGTATGAAAAAAATCCTTGTCTTTGTAGATAAGATAAAGTGACATCAAGCCTAAAATAACACAGGCACACAAAAAATAAAAAGTGTCTTGGCCGAGACACTACAAGTCAGAATTGTCAGATTGGCTCTCAGTTCCGAGCAAACCTCAAAACTCAACGAAACGAACACTTTTTTTGAGGTTTGCTCGGAACTGAGAGCCAATCTGACAATTCTGACTTCGGATTCGGATTCAGCGGGTCAAAATACATGGGAATACACTAGTGTAGTGTCTTGGCCAAGACACTTTTTATTTTTTGTGTGCCTGTGAATTAATGGACCACATAGCGCTCTTCGCTTAAATCTATGCACATAACGTACTTCTAGACAAGTATCGATAACTATACTTTTTTATTTTTAATAAAAAAGATACTATATTTCAAAAAATTTATATCTCTATATGTTATATGTATAATAGAAGTACATTTCGAGTTAATTGACATACTCGAGTACGTTTGAATGGCAAATTTTTCTAAAATTTGAACTACAAATAAATTTTATTTAATTTTGTAACGTATATAAAATTAATTTAAAACTTTACAATTTATTAAATTCATTTATTTGTCAAGTTTACAATTTAATTCGTCTAAAAGACAGCTTGAACGCATAATTCACATATCGCGCGATACATCATAATCCATGATAAACTGTACAATAACGAATAATCCAATATCGCATAACGCCTTGCAATTGAGTACCAAATAACGATCAATCGCATTATCGATCACAATGATTTACGAAGATCCAGGAAGCCTATTAAAGCAGGCTCCATATGCACATAGTAACGATATCGGGCATTTCGTTCAATATTAATCGCACAGTCAGCAAAATATTTATGTCACGGACGTAGTCCGCGAGCAATTTATCAGCGCGTTTAATAACTTGCTCATCCGATTACGCTCGGAATTTATCGTAACCGTAATAAAGAGCGGCATGTATATGGATTCGACGCAGAGCGCGCGCGCGCGCGCACAGAAGTCTTTAAAAATAATGCCTTAACGATTGTTGCTTGCTTTTTTTTTGCGCACCACAGCGGAGTGCACGCGTGCAAACATTCTCGCCAGTAAATCACATGTGTCAGCAGGTGCGCCACTCTTTCGGGAGAGCTTGATACCTCTCCGGCTATCTATTCTGATGTCCCGGTTTTTACGAGCCCGTCTAGGTTTTGGTGCCCCTGTTCGTGCTTAATGCGCTTTTATGTCCTCCACCTTGGACAGTATCTCCCGGATGTTAAAATCCAGTGTTCACTTTGCAACAAATGATCGTCTCATGTCACACGTATACACTCCGTCGTCCCACGATTACTTATATTTCAATTCGACGACGTGTCCGCCGCAGAACTGAATGAGATTGACCTCGTCGTTTGGTATCGCGAAAATGGAATTCAGCTGTATGAGATTGTTAATTCTGAAATTTACGCGATTTATTTTTACGATATTTCACTCGCAAGCAATAAGTATGAATCTGAAAATTAACACACCGTCACTTAAATATATATTTATTTCTCGCTCGATTTTTACAAAGTAAATCACATAAAGTATATATTAAAAATTTTTTTTTACTTTCTAAGATATATTAAACACGAATATATATATAGAATAGTAATAAAAAAAACATATATATATATATATATATATATATAGAATAGTAATATAACGAATATATATATAGAATAGTAATAAAATAAACATATATAACATATTTTACAGGGATATTTAAATAGCAATTATTAATAAAGTTTTAAAGAAATAATAACTATTCATTTTTACATTGAATTGATTGCTGCATTATTCTAGTTGTCTAAAGATCTTGATTATCTCTCATTCCATCTTACAAATGACAATGAAAGAGAATTATTTGAGCGAGAGCGAACATCCGGACGGTTACTGTCAAGCGCGGCGCCATGTGCCAGCCCGTCGCGATCACAGTCAGTGATTTCGTCCAATACTGTGGCTCTAATTCTGAATTCTAAGCAAATGTTTGCAGCAACCCGGATAATTGGTGTATATGTATGTGTATGTGCGTGTTTGTATGTAAATGCGCATACAGAGCTCCGGTTGGTAGTTCGTAATTATTAGAGGCGTCTGCACCCTATACAACGTAGGAATTTCATTTTCCTAAGGCGTGAGAAAAGAAGAACGTAATATCGTGTAATATTCGCGTAATGCGGTGCAATATCGATATTCATGGTATGTCGAAATATATCGCGCGACGAAATTTGTCTAGCACATGGAACTCGCGATTTTACGACTCCACTCATGATACAAACAAAATCTGAGTGAAATGTGCCTTCCTCTTCGTCATAACATTCAGAATAAAAAGGAAAATTAAATCAAAACTTTACTCTTGTAGGTATTCACACATACATAAATTTTTGTTCTAAAATATATTACGTATGTAAAGAATTTTATATTTCTTGCGTTTAATTATTTATCAAGTTGAAGAAATTTCAAAGATCACAAGATTTGTAAAAAAAAATTCAAGACTCAATTACGTAAAAAAATAATGTGCAATCTGTGTGTAATCTTTTTTATCTCTTTTTTCAATATTTTCTTTTCAAATAGTATAATTTGCGATTAAAACGATATCAACAATTCACTAAAAAATCTAAAACTGAATTTACTGCTCAACGTGATACTATCTAAAATGATTGCTATTATCTACCAGAAGACGGTACCGTAAATCACAGAAAACGTTTTACGAGTTTCAGCTATCGTCTACTCAAAGAGTATAGTAAAGTGACGGAACGCGAGAGACAGGTTCCAAGTTAAACCTCAATACCTTCCACAAGCGAGAGATTTGTATCGCTTAAAGTTAAACGTAAAGAGGACTTTGTTATATAGAATCGCATGAATCCAAGATATCACGATGAATATACCTTTACCTCACTGGCGCCGTTAGCTATAAATTTGGGGACTCTGGAAACTAAAAAGATATAAATAAATAAATGCATAAATAAAACATAAAAGGAATACAATTTAAAATTTCATCACCATGGAATCTGATTATTTATTTTGAAAAGGAAACAGAAAGAAAGAACGAACAAAATAGAGAAAGAAAGAGAGAGAATATAAACATTACTTTAATTTATTCGAAATTATCATATATTTGCGTATATATTGAGGGACGCGTCTCCCTCGTCCTCCTGCTAACGGCGTCCGTGCTTATCTTATAATAATTTGATGATTCTATATCAAATCATGTTTTACATTGTTCTTGTGCAAATTGTGTCGAAATAAAAACAGTTGAGTCAAAATACAAATTAAGTAATAATGACAGATTACATGATCAATCCAAAAAACTCAATGGAGTTTTTATTCTTAACAAAAGTGTCGAGATAGCAAAGATATTAACAATTTAATATAAAATTGTAAAATAAAATACTATTAAAAATAAAAAACTTGTTTCGAATTAAACTTCAAGTAGGAAAGTAGAATTAAATCATATAGCTGAGTTAATTATTTCAAGAGTGAACTATATTTTAAGAACACTTTTATTCCAAGTTTAATTAATTGAATCTATCAGAGAACCTATTATTAAAATTTGATTTATTATGTGACATTCTGTACATGCAACAATTATGCTTCATTGCATGTATTCTTGGGAAATATCAAAGCAGAAACGCAAATCATTCAGAAATAGAAAACCCTGGAGACAATTAATTTCTACAGGATATGAGCATGTCAAGGATTACTATATTTTTATAATTTTCATTACACAAAAGAGTTGATTTATATTTAAATCCATTTATTTTTACATGTCACTCTTTGATTTCGTCGTGGACTACGGATTATACGTATGTATAGTGTCGTATTTCGTGCTACAACTGTAATATAATATTTCTAGTAATATATTGATCTAATTTTTCGTTTATTTTATGTATTTCGAGTATATTTATATTAATATTTCAAGAATAAAGTGCAATATGTTTCATGACCTGTTTTTCTTTCTAAAGAATAATTTCCTCAAGCTTTTTTATTTTGATCTGATAAGTCCAAAATTCAACATTATACGGGCACCGTTCATACCGCTTATCGCGTTAATCGCGACCCGGAACATCTATTTCCGGTGATCTGGAGAACGTTTCAAAGGTGGATATCGCTCTCTTCCTCATTCCTCCTCTCACTTGGAGGTCGTTGCACGTTAACACCCTCGATTTTCGTTCTACTTCATGCCATCCTCTTTTAACAATGCATGGTGGCATTGCCATGTTAAAGGCAGAAACGGAGTTTCTCCGCGAATTAGAAATGCATTTAACTTTGTAGTTTTAAGTTTATGCATTTGAAGCACAAATTAACGCTCTACCACATCATTATAGAATCAGAAGCTGAGTATGATACTCCCAACAGCTATCGTTCTACCGTGTAATTCCGTATTATTAATCAATAATTATGCAATCATATAATTATATATTATTTAATACTAAATTTTTCTGGCAACAAAGTAGAATAAGAATTACTCTAAATTAAGAATAAAAAATTGTCGATTTCTTTGAAAAAGCGTAGTAAACATTTTAGATACACAGAAATATTTAAGTATTTTTCTTTCCATCATCGGAATGCGCATATACACTGCACATAAAATTTTCTCTATTCGTAAACATAATTTTATTTTATAAGTTATATCTATTTTAAGATCCCGCCACACATCAGATCTTGCTATAAGATCAGAAACGAAATGGCCGTATCATATTCCGCTTCTTGCCCTTATACGCATTCTGCTGTGTTTCTCCGTTCGAATGTAAAGTTCCTTAAATTTCGAGGAACGATTTGCGGGAGCGATACGCACCGGAGCGATAAATATAACGGCTCGTTTCTTTTTATCGTCCAAAACGCCGCCGATGTTCTCCGCTTCCGCACCCTTAGTACACGAAGCGTACCGCGCATTCTCAGGCGTGTGTTTATACGCGTTGTCCCATATATTACAAATTATCTCCCACTTGCAACAACGAGTTTTCACCAGACAATACTGCCGCGATAAAGTTGAAATTCACGGACTGCGGCCGTGAATTATTGGCGCCTTTAATTCCGCGGCTTTAGGTTTATACACTTTAGCGAGCATTTCTCCGTTCGCAGGTAATTTTTCCGACCGTAAAATGCCCAGGTTCGGACATTATTATATGCCATGGAAATATCAACTTTTTTCGAGTAGCACAACGCTACTTTTTGAGCGTTTCATTAAGCTCGAGAGCGCGTTAATATTCTATCTCTTTCTCTCTAGATCGCTCACTGAGCCACTTTAAAAATCGCCTTTTCACGGTACGCTTTTCATTTTACGATCATTTAGTTAACATTTAATATTTTTAACATTTTTTTTTGCCACGCACGTGTATGCAAAATTTCTTCGCTAATGTAACTAATTTTTTCCATCGTATACACACTTTAATCTAATAGTCATAATTTTATTTTATATTACAATACAAAGCTACACTAAATTCTCTTTTAAGCACGGTAAATCACAAAAATATTATTTTATAATTCTTGATCCTTAACTCTTGATCTAAGGAAACTAAGTTTTGGTTTTCCTTAACATTTTCATTATTTATATGAACTATCGTTTTTATCAACATTTAATTATTTTTATTATTATTTTATAGTTTACAGTGTGTGCAATTTAATTTATAAGAGAGTGTATAGTTTAAGTATTCTCCTCTTCCCCTTTTACATAAACTTTTATCGGAGTAAGATAAAAAATAGAATTTAATAATATGACATAATTAGAAAACAAGATCTATATGTTCAACCTCTTTTTTTCAACTTAAACATCCAATCTCATATATCTTAAAATATATGTGGAGAAAAAATATTTTTTTTTTTTTATAAAAAAAGATTTGATTTTTTCATTCATTTTCACGCACGCTTTTCCTCAATAGTATACGAATACTTTTGTGATTCACTGTATGTCTATTTTCTTTTTTCTTACACTTTGTACCATCTTTTATCTTTTTACTGTGAATAAATATATTAAATATATATCTCTTTTAATATATTTAATAACGGTTATAATACCAAATGCAAATCTAACTTTCTCTAGATCTTTCATCGAGAAGTTATAAATGAGAATCAATTTTGTACACTAAAATTCAAGCTTGACGATTTTTTCAAAGCAGTACGTTGATTTAGAAACTGCTATTTTAAACTTACTTTTTCAAATAACATCTACGTAATTACGCGTTTAGCGATCCTAATTAATTATTATTAACCTAAAGGATACTATTTTTAAAATTATAATTTTTATGAAAGAATTAAATAAGTTTTCGTTATAATAATAAAAATAATTGCAAAACATGTAACTGGTTTAACAATAATAATTAGAATTAAAGATGACATGTGTACCTATATATAGATATAAAATTCGTATTTATAAAGTATAATAAATTCTAAACTGTGTAAACTTTTCATAAGATTGCGTAAATATGACGAATGTATTTATACTTAATTTTCATATACTTAATTGCCTCATATCTCTTCATGCTTTTTATCGTCTTTTGCACAATGAACTTGGACTGTTAAACATCTGCGGCGAGCATTTACTTTGATCTCGCTCTGCGGCGACTCGTACAACGAGTTAAAAGAAAGCGCGGCTAAGTGATTAACTTTCGTCGTGCTCCGTGGTAAACGAGTAAGAAATTGCGGCGTAACTTCGCGGTTTTAAATTCGCGAATTTTTATTACGCGTACCCCTCGCTGCTTATTCATTTTCCGACTAAAGCGCGAGACGAAGTTCTCGAGATTATTATCGAGCGAAAAAGAGCCATAAAGAGTTTCCACTTTTTTTTTTTGAAGTTTTCGTCATCAGGTATCTCGGAATATCGTTCGAGTATTCTCCGGCGAGTTCGCGCGTATAATTGGAAAGGAATCCCACCGCGCTTTTCGCTCGCCCTTGCTTGCTCTCGAGAACTGAACACGACACGCTGGTTCTGTTAATGAGAAATCTTGGAGCTTACGCATAGCGTTTTACAACCGTTCCTTTCTACTTCGCTTACATTCATTGGAATACCTGCAGTATGTTCCGCATTTTACGACGAGAGAATTTTATCCAGATGGAGCAGCATTTAGTTGAGTATAATAAAAAACAAATATAAAAAACATGACGGAAAATAATGAAAAGCGCGCGAAGAAGAGATATAACAATTTTTATAAATTATTACAATTTTTATGAATTATTACTGCTATTAAGTGATGATTTTAAAAAAATATCATAATAAAATCATAACTAAATATTTTGATTTAATTACTGCATTTTGTGCAAATATATCTCCTAGTATTTATCTTTAAATAATATCTAATATTAAAAATAATCGCAAGACTATCACAAATGTCTTATTAATAATAGTATGCCAAAGAAAAAATTACACTTGTTATCATTTTTAATTATTTCTTTCGTAGATTTTAGAAAGATAATTGCTCTTTTATTTAAGATATTATTACAATTGTAACAGTGTTCCAAGTAAGTAATTGTCACGGTATTTCGTAATCAGCATTTATAACTCACCTCGATGATACTGATGCAGATCATGAGGTAGGGCGGTCGTATCCGGAAGCTCGGCTTCCTGGATGGCAGTGGATATCTGGGCGTTGGTCTGGGCGTGACTTCATCGTCACGTTTTTTTTTATAGGAGGATGTGACGATGATTGGCGATTCCGGGGAATAGGGCGAACCGGGTCCGGGCGAGTACGTCGCATCCGTAGAATCCGACGAGATCGTCGACAAAGTCGGCGAGTTTTCCAGCAACGCTGCCTCGGCGTCCATTTCGGTATCTTAAACAAATAGAAAAAAAAATTATGATTATTATAAACACTTTTTAAGTGCAATATCCTATCTACATTACAAGATTCATTACAAAGATTAAACGCAAAGTACAATAAGAAAATTTAAATCTTAAATGCTTGTTTAACGATTCGTTTAAAAGCTTCCTGATAAGAAAACTATTTGTAACGTAGTAACAATTAAATTAATATCGCTTTAATTTAATAACTTTTAAAGTTACATTTTGCGTGTTAGAGAATATCCGTAATAGAATAAAGGATCGAAGTACATTACACGTGTTATTTATCTGAAGACGAGAAAAAGAAAGGAAGGGAGAAAGCGGAAGTATCTAGAAGTCGAGAAAATAAAAGTTCAATCGAACAACTTTACGAGAAGCTCCGTTTTTATAAAAATTTTTTTCATCTAACGACAATCACTGAGCCGTGACGAGTAGTCCGACGATCCCAATTACGATTCTGGCTTCAGCAGCTCTCGCCACTGCAATGAAGTCGCCTTTCGGCAGTTTAGTTCGCAGATATCGTCGGCTTTCGTCGGCCTCTACCATGCGGAAGCCTGCCTCTATAATTCAGCCGCAAATCCTATAATGGTGCGAAAGACGTGTTTCGTGAAGCAATTTACAGAACGGCGCAATTTGTAAGCCTGCATATACGTTTACGAGTACAGGTTAATCTCGAAATGATACTTCGTATTCGGAATTTGTCATGTATGGAGTGTCGCGTAAACGGAGTAATGCGGGAACTAAGCAATTTTAATATTAGACAAAAAAAATTTGTGGAATCTGGATTATTAAATAAAGATAATTTCTATTGCTAAATTACTATTTTATATTTTAAATAAAAAAGTAATCTCGCATATAAAAAAGCTTCTTATTTATTTGCCAGAATATTAAGTATGAAACTTATGCAGTATTTGTTTTGTGGATAAATTGTCTGCATTAATCTTTTTAACAAAAAATGTAATATAGTATCTAAATATAATAAATTAATCTTCTAAAAAATTTTCCTCAGTTTTCCAATCTGTTTTCGTCATTAAATATTCTAATTTTTAAATAAGCTTGACAATAATAAAATTTTAAAATATAATTTTAATTTTAGTAATATTAAAGAAACATATAGGTTCAAAAGTAATAATATAATTTTTTATTACAGGATGAAATACAAGAAAAATTAACGTTTAATCTGCACAATAATTACCAACGTTGTTACATATTGATATATAATATATTTAAAAAAATATAACATATTAATATGTAACACAATTAACTTGGCTAATTTATTATCAGTTAATTACTTCTATAATTAGATAATATCAATGTCTCTACAGTTAATTTTCCAGTTGAACAATTCTTGATGGCTTTATCGTGATTGCCCTTCTCCTATATATACAGCGTATTTCATTTATATAATATATATTATAAATACTCTAATAATCGTCCATATAAACATCGTCAGATTTTGTTACAATTTTTTTTATTTCGACGCCTTCGCTATTATCAAGATGATCGAGAATTACTTTACAATGATCGCCCACTAACTCTGTCCCTTGAGGACATTTGATAATTGTTTCAACTTCCTCGTGATAAGAACGTTTTGGTTTATCATCATCGTCGTCTAACAAAATTTTTGGTATAGCATTTAAACCCTTAATACCGACGTTTGTGAGTTTTAGCAGAGTATTCGATCTTCGGGCTGGCTGCACGGAGTCCACATAGGTAGAGGAAAGCATTGCATCCGAATATTGAACCGGTGCGTCGTCCGAATATTCTTCTCGTACGTTATTTGAATATTCGACTGGTACATTCGAATGGTACATCCTCCGCTTTGACTGAGGGGTGCGATTCGGAGCTGTGATTATATATCGCCTTGAATTGTCCAGATTGGCCGCGTCAACCGAATGTACTTGGTGTCCATGCGAATTGCTTGACGGTATATGGGGCTTATGATTTGGTGCTGTTATTATGTACCGTGATGGAATATGATCCGCATATAGTCCCGAACTGTCCAGATCGACCGCGCCATCCAAATGTACTTGGTGTTTATGCGGTTTACTTGATAATGTTTGGGGCTTATGATTCGGAACTGTTATTACGTACGGTGACGAAACAGGATTTGCATGTAGTCCTAAACTATCATGATCGGCCGCGTCATCTGAATGTACTTGACGTCTACGTGATTTGCTTGATGTTTGAGGCTTGCGATTTGGCACTGTTATCACATACGGTGACGGATCCGCATTACGTCTGAAACTGTTCTGATCGGCCGCGTCATTTGAATGTACCTGACGACTATGTGATTTGCTTGGTGTTTGAGGCTTGCGATTTGGCACTGTTATTACGTACGGTGACGAATCCGTATGATGTCTCAAAGTGTTCAGATCGGCCGCGTCATCCAAATGTTTCTTATACTTTTCTTTTGATAATGAAAAAGAGTCCTCATATTGGCCTGAGTTATCCAGATCGGACACGTCATTCGAGTGTAATTGACGTTTATGCGAATTACTCGATGTTTGAGGCTTGCGTCGTGGTGCTGTGATTACATACGGTGACGTATTAGGGTCCAAGTATCGTTCCAAACTGTCTACGTCGGCCGCGTCATCCAAATGTTTCTTATGCTTTGTTTGTGATATTGGAGATTGGAGTGCGCCTCTTGCGGCTAGCAGAGTTTCACAGTGCAATTGAATCACCATTAGTAACAGAAAAGCTCGAATCCATTGAGATCTCATGATCGTTAAATGACAAGAGGGACCTTGTTAACAGAGATCTCGATCTTGAGAGACCGAGCCACTGACAGTTGCCACTACGTTCTGTTTCAACTGTCGCGACTTGCCCCCTTAAATCAAGACGCGGATCGTAAAAAATATCGAGCACATAAAGACGCCAATGGAACGTGGTATCGGCTATAAATAATACCTATGACGATGAGCGTTTCTATATATGATTGGTCGCGTACAATTACAAACAGCGCGGCCTCGTACTTTAATGTACATTGATTAATTTCACGCCAGCGTTATCTCATCAACGCTTCGATTAGACAGTGGTTTAGGAGTTAATTTTTTTATTATTAACAGCATATTTTATTGTTCGATAATTATTTTTCCAGTCGCCCACCGGCGACACTTTTAGATAATACACGTATGCCTTACCATGCATATAAAATTCGCATATATTAGATTTTTGAACAATAAACATAAATATAATAATTGCAATCCATATCCGATTTTCACTCCTTTTTAAATAATTCTAAATAATTGAAATAACTTTACACTGTTGAAAAATTTTTGTTTAAAAAAGTCCTTGTTAAAATTTTTGTGTAAAATAATCAACACATATATGTGTAGATTTAACATATGCCTACTATGTTGATTCAAGTTTAATTCAAAAAATATGTCAAAATAACACAATTTGAACGTATTTATTAAATGTGTTTAAATTTACAGAAAAAGAGTGTTGATTTTATCTTACAATTTTAACTTCAACATAAAAATTATGTTAATTGTACACATAATTAACTTCAAATTACGATCAGAATTACATTTCCTTTCTGTTGAAATATTTTAACGGTGTTACTATTTAACACATCCATATTATGTTAAATTAATACAAAAATTTGTGGACTATTTCGGACATGTGATTTATGTTATATTTAACACAAATTTTCCAACAGTGTATGTATATAATTACCTTAGTACAAAAACAGAGTATGCTCATACTATGAACAATATAATATAAACTGTGATATATACACGGAGAAAATTTTATAGTAAATATTACTATGGTGTCGCACTAGCTGCGGACCATCGAGGAATTTTAAGTTAAATTACTATGTTTATGGTAAAAATTACGTTATTTAATCGTTTTTAAAACAATAATTATAGTATTTTAACTTGAAATTCCTCGATGGTCCGCAGCTAGTGCAACACCATAGTAATATTTACTATAAAATTTTCTCCGTGAATAAAGAGAGTATTTACAGTTACGGAATAATGGTTGTATCTGCCAGGATTAATTCTTCGGAACTGTATTCCGCAATCAAACTAAAGCCACCTAGTCAACTACTCCCATAGCCTGGCCGGCTTAAAACTCGATCTCACGCGTTCTGGACCGAAACGACCGAAGAACGGCACACCAACGGGGAGAGCAGCGTCACACCGAAATCGCTGGTTTTCGTGGGTATCCACCAGTTTCGCGGTGTGGCACACCGGGACCGAAACTCGGCGAGCCAACAATTCAGCGGCAAATTCTAGGGTGACCCGAAAACACGAGCCGAACAAAGAGCATTGGCGGTCGGACAAAGAGATCATGAGAAGCGAGCCCTTCGGAAAAGCAGCAAGAGCCCACAAGTTCTCTCGGCCTCCGGCCTTTCGCGGCGGTCTAGTCGGCGAGCGTATCACTCTTATATTTATCTCTCTTATATCACTGCTATTTCGCTTTTCTATATCTCTCGAACAGATTCACTTGTCGGTGTACCGCGATCCCGAATGCGCCGCGTGTAACGTCCACGCTCGATGTTGAGCGAATAATGCATAACTGCATTCACGTAGTTCGCGCCGCAACATAAATGCCTGCAAGCTAGTTGACGCTCATTAACTCTAGAATGCTCCTCTTGAGGCCCCATTGCTTTTTCACATAACGCTCCATACTCCATACTTTGAGTTCATATTCAGCTCGTTTAAATAACTTTTAATTATAGTAAGATAAATAATCCTTTCTTTTAAGTAATCTCCTTAAGACTTAATTGTAATATATAAATAATATTTATGGAAATCATTTCTCTCTCTTAGTTTATAGACTTGGTATCCCTTCGTTATAAGATATCGTACACAAAATCTTTGGTATGAAACACGAGCGATAGTCGCGTCTTCTCTCTTCGTGTTATCTTCTTTTCTTCCATACGGCAGGGTCGCTGCTCGACTGCTCGAGCCAGCTGCATTATATGCCGCTTCTGGCAAGGGTATTATTAGCTTCTCGCATTATTGTCTTGGATTAACTCGC